ACCGTGGCTTGCAGCTACCCCTGGTTTTTAACTAGCTTGACTTCAGTTTTCATGGCCTTTTTATGTTCTAGATTATTGTATAGGTCACAGTTAATGCCAAAATCCTGTACTGTACAGGCTGCAGTAGACAAGTAGTAGGAAGGGAATAGTAAACAATGCAAAGATGAAATGAAAATGCAGAGGAGATTAGAATACTTTAGTGACAAAATAAAAGAGAAGAACCTTGCTTCATAGGTTTGTTGAGTTTTGGGGTTTTACTTTGAATGTCACCTGTGTGCTGTGCTAGTATGTAGTTACATAAATTCACACTTGGTGGCATCAGAATACTCATTAAAAGTGTTTCATAATATTTTTTGGGATTGGCTAAAAGGAGACAATGGCTACATATAGTGCCTCTGTTGTTTTTTCTTCCTTTGGAAAGAAGGTATGTGTTAAAACTTCTAGAGGTTTGTCTGTAGTGGCAGGTTATATCTGATACTGTGAATAGCTCTTTTAGTCATTGAGTGTTAGATGAGAAAACCTTAATAGCTGTGGAAGGAATACAACTGAATAACCCAGAAAAATCCATGCATTGATTTAACCTTGCATTTTTTTAAAGCCAGAGTTCTAATATTTTTATTTTCTTTACGCAAGCATGCATGCATTTCTTCATGTATACACATTCTCTCTCATTCTGCACAATCAGGTGGTTTTTCTTTAGCTAATTGCTGTTTCAGGAGCATAGGAAAAAAAGATAGGGGATTTTAGTATTTAATATTTTCAAGCTGAAAAGGCAGGTCATTCAAATTCTTTGCCCAGAGTGAAGCTTTTTAGTGCAGTACAGCTCTTGACTTAGCCAATTATGAAATTACTGTCAAGAAGAAAATTGTTGTTTAGTAGGGGAAGAGATACTAGGGATACTAAAGTCTTGCAACTTGCATCAACTTACATGAGTTACTCTGTTTATAGGTGAACTGAAGACATTAATGGCACTTGATCGTGAGCAGCAAGCAGTTTATCATCTTCTAGTGAAAGCCACAGATGGAGGAGGAAGATTCTGCCAAGCTAATATTATTCTGACTCTGGAAGATGTGAATGATAACGCCCCAGAGTTTACAACTGATCCTTACTCTATTACAGTATTTGAAAACACAGAGCCAAAAACCCTTTTGACAAGAGTACAGGCAACAGATGCAGATGCAGGTATGCATTTTTTGACTGAAACTTTTGTCATGGTCACAAAGTTACAATAATGTTTATTTAGTCTTATCCTGAGACTTGTCAAGTGTTTCAGCAGAACTGACAGATGTTCAATACCACTCCAGGATTAGACTCCTGAAAGAGATATTTAGGCCTACTAAATCATGTAACACCTGACTTCCATGTGTGGGTAGTTTGGAAGACACCGCTTTTGTGTGTCTGCAAAATAGAAAGGAGAGAGAGAGAGACAAAATCTAGGATATTTGTGTGATAAGCTATTCACATTATGATGGATTAGGCTCATCCTTTTACTCCTGATGTAAGTAAAAGGACTATAAAGCCACATTCATTCATGTGGACATGCATTCATAGATTTATTTTTTTTACCGTGTTTCTTAGGCTAGCCATCGATGATACCATAAAGAAAACCCTGGTTGGTTGGTTGTAGCTTTCTGTATATATTACTCTGTTAAGGTTTTTGCTGTCTCTTTATCTTCACTGTTCAGCACAAGTATTTAAGGGAACATGAATTGAAAATGACATTAGAAGGAGTTTGTTCATAGGCTTTGTTGTAAGGAATGCAACAGCATAAGCTATTTTTAGAAGTGGATGATTTCCATATATCACCAGTTTATTAATCAAATAGTATTAGTGAGTAGTTGCCTCATTCTTGTGAAACAACCGACCTGCTTTGTGCTATGATAGGTTGCTGATTTGGAAAGTAACAGACAGATGTCTTCATACTTCACTAGTCTTTGAGGCTCAGGATACTTGACCCCAGAGCATCTAAGTTGTTTGTTTGTTTGTATTATAGAGAAAGGTTGCCAGAAATTATGTTCCTGTTAATTTTGGAGTATGGTTCTTAAATAAAATTACTGGTATAGAGTCTAGTTATTTGATGAAACCTAAACTCTCTCATATCCTCCTCTGTTTTTACAAGCCTGCTAAACAGATGTTGTTGTTCTAAAGTTATAATTAGATTTATATTACTAATTGTTTTATATTAGTTAGTGCTGTGACTGAAGCAGAACCATGCTTTGTGTTTTCTGTGTGACAGAAAATCAGTGCAGTGAAGTGTTAGTTGCATTTTTTAAATCATATTACATAATTTTGGAAATCATTCTTCCCTTTACAAAAGCCTTTAACTCATACTGAAATTTACTTTTAATGTAAATGATAATGTGTATGTTTTATTTCTCTAGCTATCAGATCAGTTGTTATGTTGGTGTTTTCTAATGGCTGCTTCATACTTTAAAATTGTTTTCAAAATGCAGGGATGAACTGTAAAATCCATTATTCACTGGTGAACTCTGCAGAGGGCCAGTTCTCTGTTGATGAATTCTCTGGAATCATTCATTTGGAGAAGCCTTTGGATCGGGAATTACAAGCTGTGTACACACTAACTTTGAAGGCTACAGATGAAGGTTTACCTAGAAGACTGTCTTCAACAAGTAGTCTTATAGTTTCTGTTTTGGATATAAATGATAATCCACCTGTATTTGAGCATAGGGAGTATAGTGCAAGTGTATCAGAGGACATTTTGGTTGGAACTGAAGTTCTCCAGATCTATGCTGCAAGCAGAGACATTGAAGCCAATGCTGAAATCACATACTCAATAGTCAGTGGAAATGAACATGGAAAATTCAGCATCGATTCAACAACAGGTAACAGATTACAACTATGAATGTACTTAAGTTAACCAACCACAATGCCATACTGTGTTCTACAGCAATTCAGTCAAATAGGTTATGTATAGTCCGTGTGCATCATCCTGGCTGTGAAGCCTCTGCTGCTGTCTGTTCACCCATTTTGCCAGCATGTTTACTAGAAGAGCACAGTGGAATGTAGAATAGGAACCTTATGTGTTGCTGCTAGTTTTTGTTACTTGGGTTAGGTTCGTTTAACTGGCAAGAGTAAGGGTTTCCTACCTGTAGTATTCCCCACCCTGGGGGCAGAGGGTGGAAAGACATTGATCTGTAATATTTGAAGCATAGAGGTCTTTCCATAAAAGCTACCTAATCAGAATGAATGCCCGAACTTGGTCTGTAAATTGGGGTAATAGTCATTGGTCCACAAGTCAGTAATCCTAGAGGAGTTTGATACATCATTAAAGAGAGGTTGGAATAGGAGTGTTCTGTTCAACCATGTATTCAGCATGACGGTGGAGATTCTAGACTTGCATGATAGTCAGATTTAGTTTCAGGGAGCATTTAGGTTCTGTAGGTAATTTTTCCCTATTAATTAGAATTCTGTACTGAAAGCTAATATATGCCTCAATTCTAGTTGTTTTCTTACATAGTTCTTTTCCTAGAGCTAATTTCTGGTAAAGTTTATTTGCTTGTGGCATTGTTTTTAAAAAAAACAAGTTTTATACCCCAAAATTAACAGTAAATTGTACCAGTGTAATTGAAATCACGGTTTTTCCAGCATGTATGTTCTTTGCCAGGTAAACTTCATATCTATGAAAGGAGGAAAAAGGTTCCAGAAAAATTCTTCCAGCAGCAAATTAACGTGTGTGTTAGGGACTGCACTATCTTAAATAGTCAGCCAAAAAATCACATTACAGAATGTAAGCCAGGTGGTTTTGAAGTGTGAGTCTTTTATGGTAATGGCAGGAACTTCTCATCTTCTTGCTTATACATGTAAAGCATGATCATTTCACTGTGTAGCTCCAACTTTGTACTGACAAATCAAGCCCTGAAGAAGCTGAGTATTTGTCAGACCAAAGTAAAAAGTCGCAATACAAAGTACTACAGCAATAGCAGAGTTTGTGTAAGGTTTGCTTATTTTTTTCTTTTCCCTACCCTAGGAGCCATTTTTATCCTTGAGAGCTTGGATTATGAAAGCTCTCATGAGTACTACTTGACAGTGGAAGCCACAGATGGAGGCACACCTTCATTAAGTGATGTTGTAACAGTGAATATTAATGTCACAGATATCAATGACAATACTCCGGTGTTTAGCCAAGACACTTACACTGCAGTAATCAGCGAAGATGCTATGCTTGAACAATCAGTTATTACAGTATGTATCATTTCTTTCCTTTGGAATACTCTGTTATGACGAACATGCTTTCACTCTTGAAGGAATAAGTATTGATTTGAAGGTGAACATAAATGAGTAGTTGATGTTTGCCACTGAGTGAATTGAAAATTTACTTGGAAAAAGTTTCAGAAACAGAGTCTCCAGGTGCTGTGGGAAAGTAGATGAGATTTCGTGATATGTCTGTTCTCCTCCTGAGAACATGACTTAATTTTCAGAAGAAATTAAGGAAATTAAGTGATGTTGATTTGTTCTATTCGGATGACATTTCTCCTGAGAACTGAAATGTGTTTGACCAAAACAGCTCATCTTCAGGATGAGTTCATCTGAAAGGTGCTAGAATCTATTTCAGCCTGTTTTAAATGATACTGTAATGTCCCTTAGGTTATGGCAGATGATGCTGATGGACCTTCCAACAACCGCATTCACTACGCAGTTATAGATGGCAATCAAGGAAATCCTTTTACAATTGACCCTACCAGGGGTGAAATAAAAGTTACTAAGCTTCTAGACAGAGAAAAGGTAAGTTTTTCATGCATTTTGAGCAGTTGGGATTAATTTCTCTATACATAATTAATGATCACCACTTTTTATCCTATCTGTAAATTACCATTTCATGTTCCAGAATTAATATAGCTGTAATAAAGTGAAAACATCTATTTATATCAGTACTTTTGGGGGACAGGAGAGGAAGAGAACAGATTGAATATATGAAGGGAAGCTTTAATAGGGGGTTGTGCTGAAATACTTCTGCTGTAAAATGAAAGCTGAGTTTGTTACTTTTTTGCTCTTTAGTGAATGTTTGAACTTCTTTTATTATTTTTTAGATTTCAGGATATACCTTGACAGTTCAAGCTTCAGATAATGGAAGCCCACCTAGACTTAACACAACCACAGTTAATATTGATGTTTCTGATGTAAATGATAACCCTCCAGTATTCTCAAAGGGAAACTACAGTGTTATCATCCAGGTAAATACAGATAATGAAGTAGTCAAATCAATAATCTGACGTGACTTAATTCGTGACTTGAAAAATTTTGCAAGATACAATAAATCAATTGCTTCAATTCTATTTTTCTGTATATTTAATTATTTAAGGTTGCCAGTGAGACTGCTTACAGAATAAGTGTTAAGGGTTACAAAATTGTGATTATTTAGAAACTTAGATTGCAAATTCACAGAATCACAGAACGGGTGAGGTTGGAAGGGACTACTGTGTGTCATCTGGTCCAGCCTTCCTGCTCAAGCAGGGTTGTCCTAGAGCACATTGCACAGTATTGCATCCAGATGATTCTTGAATATCTCCAGTGAGAGAGACTCTACAAGCTCTCTGGTGTTTTTTCATGTTCCGTGTGTGTATGTGTATTTATATTATACATCGCATTTATGTTTAGAACATTCTTAGCATCGTACAGGGACGTTAAAATACATAATAATTTTGCTATTTCATTTTAAGAGTTACTGCTTAGATCCTTTAGGTACCTATTACTGTGAAGCTAGTGTTGTGCACCATGGCACATAGGTTAATTCCTGTTAGCTTCCTCTGGGATCAGAAGTTAGAACAAGAGTAGTATTTCATATTGCTGCATACCAATTTTCTTTTGTCCAATTACAGTCTTTCTTGAAGTGAATGTTAATTATAGTATCTCCTAAAACTGCAGACTGTGTAGCCAATGTCTGCAATGTTTCCCATAGTCAACTAAAAAGGAAAACCATATGTTTATAATTCATTCATATGAGCCTGTCCTAGTATGAGGGCAGCAGAGAAGAAGCTGGAGGAGTTGCCCAAGAATGCTGGTGTACATTTCCTCATGTATTGGAGATGGACATATTTGGACACAGTTGGAAATGCACGTAGCTATTAGGAAAATCCCATTACTTTAGCTGTCCAGATGTAAATATAAATTGTATTTTGAAACGATGGTCCTTGTCTGTTTTGTTGAAAGGGGGGGGAACTTCAGCAGCAATATCTAATAACAAAATTGAGTTATTCTCTCAGAAGCAAAGAATATGCTTGTTGTTAGGAGTTTTTGCAGCTGTGAAAGGATAGCATTTTGTTATCACTGTACTTAAAAATGATTTTCTACTTTTTTTGCTTTTAAAATACATATGTATGTAAAAAAATCTGGCCAATACAGTATAGCACGAGTATTCCGGGAGAGGTGCTACAAATGCTAGATAAGGTTGTATATGTGTGTATGATACATGATAAGCCAAAGCATGTGAAGTGTCTGTGAAGCTTCAGGCATCTACATGATGCAAACTGGAGGAGATTTTTATGATGCAACTTCTAAAACCTGGATTTCATATTTTAACTGGGCTGTGGCTGTGACAGCCACAACTGTACTCAGGACACTAATTAGGGACACAAGGGGTCAGATGGAGGAGTGTGTTTTTCTAGTGCCCCCATTAAAGGCATTAGATTATCCTTTACAAATTTAGCTAGAACACCTGTTATCTTTGATGACTTTGTAATTAGGCTACAGTAATGTTGATTCCGACCAGAAGTGGAAAATGTAAAGTGTCTAAGCTGAACTACCTTAAAAAAATATAATGCAAAGTTTAAGAATGCACCGCCTTTGTCCTTTTACTGTTTATTATTCTTATGCTGAGAGGGTATAGTTTTCCTTAAGCAATACTGTCATTCTGATTTCTCTTATACTGATTAACTGGTTTGACAGTAATTGATAATTTATTTTCTGTTGTTAAGAAGAAATCAACTTCAGACTATACCCTTAACTATAATAAAATCAATGTGTATTACACTTTTATAGGAAAATAAGCCTATTGGATTTAGTGTGCTGCAGTTAATGGTGACAGACAAGGATTCTTCTCACAATGGCCCTCCTTTTGTCTTCACTATCCTGAGTGGAAATGAAGAGAACACTTTTCAGATTAACCAGCAGGGAGTTCTGACCACAGGTGCTGCACTGAATCGCAAAGTGAGGGATCACTATTTACTTCATGTTAAGGTAGGATGTGGCTCTTCTAGCTATTTTGCATTGTAAGTATAAATAACTTCTCCCACTCATTCCCCGTCCACCACTTGCTTTTCTGTTACAAAATCCTGACATGCCAACTAGTCATTGGAGGCATGTCCCTTGAGGTAACATCTTCAGAGACAAAGCCTGTTGGTTTAAATGGAAATCTACACAGGTGTAACGGTAAGTTTAATTAAACTCACAGTAGGAGTAAAGTGTAAGTGAAGTGTTAACAGCATGAGTGGTCTCGATGAGCCCTTTGCCTTCTGTGCGGGATGCTGGAAAAGCCAGCAGGGGACAGGTCCCTTTGAGCCAGCCCCTTCTGTCTGCAGAATTCCTCTTGCCGCTATTGCTTTGACCCTTGAGGCAGTGTTGGAAGCAGGGATATTGGAAGTTGCATGACATGGCAGTTTCACATTCTTTTTCCAATTACAATTGAAGATGTGTTTTTTAAGTTTGGAAAACAGGTCAGTGGAACTTTGTCAAAGCATTGAAACTTCCACCGCAGTAGTTTGAGGTCTTGGGATCTTGCAGTGGAAAACACATCATGAAACTCAAGAAATGACTCTGAAACGCTATAATATAGACAACATTTGCCATTGTGCAAAAAAAACAGGTCATGTCCGAAAAATCCAGGTTACGTTAATATACCCAAGTCCTCTAAAATACTTTTCTGTAACCTGGAATAAGAAAAGTTCAAGCCATTTTTTCAAAATCTTATCCAGTCCTTTTTAATTCATTTATAAATTAAGCAGCTGTGATCAGGGAACCTAAAATCGGTGGGCTAAAAATAGCTAGCCTTAATTCTTAAAACTCATTTCCAGATTCATGTTTTAAGAAAAATTCTTGCCTTTATTTTTACATGTGGAGTTTATTTTAGTCTCCGGATTATTCTTATACATACTCTTGCAGATAATTTCTGACCAAACATGCACTTGCAGAGTTTTAGAGCAATACTGTCTGCATCAGTGTATACTGAATTCTGTCCACATTGGGATAAATGTGACATACTTACAAAGGTCTGTTTTCTTGGGGGAAAGAAGAAAAAAATGCCCACAAATACTGTAATTTGCTGATTGAGTCACTAAACCATCATTAGTAAGAACTGATATAGTTCAATTTAAATATAGTTTAGTTTATGATTTAAGAGTTGAGATGAAAAAGGGAACAGGTATATCATTCCTCTGTTAGCCATTTTTTCCTCAGTAGTGATCTGCTAATTAGTGGTGGGACAGATTAGCCTTCAGGGTACTTAAGTGATTGCTGTGTTGGCCTTCCTAGGCTGCATGAGTCCAAAACAGCAGTAGAACTGGGCTTTGTCACACTTGCTTGATAGGCTTTCCGTGCTCTATGCCAATTCCCCCAAAGTCATCCTTTTGCTTATGGAAGAAGAACCAGCAATGTTTTACCTGTATGTGAAATCAGTGTCGTACAAGATTTGTATGTTTTATTTTACATTTTCTCTAAGCAGTAGCTAATTTCTATTTATTTTGCTTCTGAAACATATTCTTATGAATGCAGGCACAGGCAATTATGTCTGTTCTCTGTGGACTGTTACACTGACTGTCATATTTCGTGATTTAGCTGCACCTTTGGCAGTTCCTAATGTGCTTGGCTTTTCTTGAGTGTGAGACGCCTGACATCTTTCTCTGGGTGGAAACATGCAATTCTTTCATTTCTAAGCCACTTCCTGGACTCTAGGCTGCTTGTAAACAGCCTGTCAGTACTTCAGCTATCTTGTCTTTAGCACAGCACTTGAAAAGTGCCTTTTTTTATAGGGAATGAATAAGGGCCATTTTAATGGCATCCAGTAGCTAAACAAGTGTCTTAAAACAATGTACACATTTAGAACAAAGACTTCTCAGAGACTGTAAATCATGTACTAACATGCATTTTTTGTGTGCTGCGCTACCCAGTCTCAGTATCTGGGACCTGTCTAATCCCTTTACTTACAGGTTTTCTGACTGGATTCTGTAAATATGTCACTACCTTTTAAATGCCATTTGTCATCTTATACTATGCTAGCTTTTTTTCAATAGACACACTGCTATTTGCTATTACATTATTATACATGAATATGAAGGCATCTAAGAGAAAACTAGCATTTCTGTATCACAGGACTTCAGTTCCAGTGATACACCCAAAACCAGAGACATGACTTTTTGTGAGAAGATGTTCTTCCTGGGCACAA